ATTGTTTGAGCTCAGGAGTTCGAAACCAGCCTGAGCAAGAGCGAGACCCCGTCTCTACTAAAATTAGAAAGAAATTAATTGGACAACTAAAAAAAATATATAGAAAAAATTAGCCGGGCATGGTGGCGCATGCCTGTAGTCCCAGCTACTCAGGAGGCTGAGGCAGGAGGATCGCTTGAGCCCAGGAGTCTGAGGTTGCTGTGAGCTAGGCTGACGCCACAGCACTCACTCTAGCCCGAGCAACAGAGTGAGACTCTATCTCAAAAAAAAAAAGACTCGGTTGGAGCTTCTGTGACAGCCACAGGCAGCCCAGAGCCCGGACTGGCATCGCCAACGGGGATCCAGTGGCTCCACCTGACATAAACAAAGCAAAGCTGGGCCATGTCTCCCCCCCGGACTCGCCCGCCACCTCCGGGGCACTCTCTGCGGCCTGTGTGCCAGGTGCCACTCGGGCAGGGCCGGGGAGAGACTCAGACCTGAGTGTGGGAGAGGAAGGAGGTGCCTGGGGCCCAGGACAAAGACGTTCCTCTCAGGCCTGTGAGCGTGCATGTGAGTGCACACCTGTGTGCCCACGAGTGCGTGTGCCCACACCAAGACATGCCTGCTTCCGCCCCAGAGGCCTGTGCCAGAGTCACGCTTAATTGCGTGGCGCCCACGTAGTGACAGCATCGTCGCCCTCACGGTGAGGTGACGACTTTCTCCTGCGGCAGCATCGCAGTCTTGGTGGCGGCTGTGCAGGCCCCACACGCGTGCACTTAGTAGGTCCCCTCCAGTGTCACCAGGACATGCTGGTTTAGGAAGGACGTCCTCTGTCGGCTGAATTTTCCGGAGTTGGCGTGTCCTGGGGGCGGCTTGCTTCCTCCGGGACGGTGAGACTGGAAGGGGAGCCCCTGCGAACACGAACGCCGTCTGTGCCTCCGCGGAGGCTCCCGTGATTGTCACTGCGCTACAGACGCAGGCCGCCTGGCACGCGGCTGCCCTTTTCTTTTCTTTTTAGTTTTGTCATTAATTTTTTTTTTTTTTTTTTTTTGAGACAGAGTCTCACTCTTTTGCCCGGGCTAGAGTGTCGTGGCATCATCTTAGCTCACAGCAACCTCAAACTCCTGGGCTCAAGCAATCCTCCTGCCTCAGCCTCCCGAGTAGCTGGGACTACAGGCATGCGCCACCATGCCCGGCTAATTTTTTCTACATATTTTTTTTAGCTGTCCAATTAATTTCTTTCTAATTTTAGTAGAGACGGGGTCTCGCTCTTGCTCAGGCTGGTTTTGAACTCCTGACCTCAAACAATCCGCCCTCCTCGGCCTCCCAGAGAGCTAGGATTACAGGAATGAGCCACCGCGCCCAGCCTATCATTAAATTTTAATCACATTGTTCCAATAAAAAGTCCTGGTCAATTTTACCTTGTGGAATACTTTTTGAGGTTTTCACTGTTGTCTACTTTTTTATCGAATGTTGTCATGGTACCATAAGCTTGAAGAAAAAAAAAAGTAGTATTTTCTGAGGGCTTTCTCAGAGTCGAATGCAATCTGTTAATTCCACCTCATCTGATGTCTTAATACCTTCTGACCTAGCGGCCTCCCTGCACCCCCAAGGGCACAAATGTGGGGGGGCCATGTTCCCACCAGCTTCCCCCTTTCATTACAAGATGTCTTTCTTCATCAAAGTGGAAGACACGAGTCTTATTTTCAGTGCTACTAGTGTCCTCTGTGTCCCAAAAACTTACATTTAACCTAATTATCAGGTCGAAAATAAAATGATATCTTTGCCTATCCTTCCCCCCGTCCCCCACCGTGTGAAACGCGGAATGTCACGCGTGTCTGTTCTCTTCCCATTTCTCCCCCAGTGATCCGTCTTCGCTAGCTTACTTTGGATCTAGGAACCCGATAACCGTTATTAAATTGTTTTCTAAACAGTAGCTTCTCCATGAAATATCTGCTAATGTTTGTATTTAGCTCTGAAACCGCAGTGACAACGTTCCGTGTTAAGTGAGTTTTGAGCACCGGGCGCTGTGCATTTCTGGTCACAGCCCCCCGTCCTTGAGACCCTGATGGCGAGTGACCTCGCAGGGGACAGAGTCGTGCCTTCCGGTGCCTCTGTCCGAGCAGCAGGAGGGCGGGTGTTTTCTTGATCTTTGTGCATCACACACGGGGGAGCGCGGCGAGGCGCAGACCTGGGGGTCAAAGCTCCGGGCGCTCGCCCTCTTTCCCTGCTTTGTCCCCGCCTAGGCTTGACGGCCCAGCGCCAGGCCATTTTAACCCCTCCCCCATTCTCCTCTAGCTGCGCCGTGGGTCCGTGCCAGGCATCCCTCCCTGTGGGCTGCGGGCCCCAGGCCTGCAGTGATGGCACTCAGTCAGACACTGGCCACTGGCCGTCCTCCTCGCAGTGGTCACGTGTGAGGAGCGCGAGGGATGAGACCGTGTCAGAGGCGCGGCCGCTCCCTGCCGCAGGTTGACCTCCTCCCGCTTTGCTCCTTCCAGATCCGGTCCGACAAAGACAACGACATCCCCATCCGGTACAGCATCACGGGCGTGGGCGCCGACCAGCCCCCCATGGAGGTCTTCAGCATCGACTCCATGTCCGGCCGGATGTATGTCACCCGGCCCATGGACCGCGAGGAGCGAGCCTCTTACCACGTGAGTGTCCACGGCCAGGGTGGGAAGGCGGGCGGCGGAACCAGGCAGCCCCAGCCCCGCCAGGCCCTGGCTGGTGCCCTCGGCAAGGTGCGTGCCTGCCTGGCCTCAGGATCCTTGGCTGCACAAGGAGGCCTCCAACTTTGGCCTGGAGCAGAACCTTCTGGAAGACTGGTGAAAGCCCAGTCACTGGTGCCACCCCCAGGGATTCTAGCTCAGTGGTCCCAGGGCAGGTCTGAAAATTTGCATTTCTAACGCATTCCCAGGGGGATGCCTGTCAGGCCTGGGGGCACACTGGGAGGACCACCAGTCTAGAAGGTCTCCGTCCCCAGGCCTCCTGCCTGGGCAGCCTCTGTGGGGTCACAGGCTGCTGCACACCGCAGGCGCCTCACGCTCCCGCATCCTCTCCCGTCCTGAAATATGCATCCTGCAGCCACGTCCTCCCCGGTCTCTCTGACAGCGGGAAGCGCCTCTGAGATGAGAGCTGCTCTGAGTCCATCTCACGGGCCGTGCACAGAAAAGGGAGACGGGCGAGAAGGGTGGAGGCTGGAGGTGTCAGCTCCGAGGGGCTGTCTGTCCATCTCCTCCCTGCCGCTCTGACCCTGCTGAGGGGAGGGGCCAGAGCCACGGTGGAAGCCGCTGAGTGCCCACGTCCCTGCACCCCGTGATTCACTGATGCGAGGGTCAGTCCCTGGGCTCTGCCCCTCACGTGCAGAGGACGGTTTGCACCAGCTGGAGGCGGCACAGACCAGAGCCAGACTGTGGGGATCAAACCAGCCTGCCCCTCCCCAGGTGTGAGCCCCGCCCCTCCCCAGGTGTGAGCCCCACCTCTCCCAGGTGTGAGCTCTCAGGCAAATCACTTATAGTCTCCTGGCCTGGGACCTCTCTCCTGCTAAGCTAATGGATCCTGGGTGGTGGCAGCTGCCTCGTCAGGTTGCCCGGCGCACTCGTGAGTGCGGCAGTGGAACAGAGCCCAGCACTGGCTGGGGCCATGTGTGCTGGTGGTGACTGTCATGATGTCTGAACCTCCAGCTCCGCGCTGGTAATTTGGGAACAAAGATGGGATTCTTAGTTTTCCACCCTGGTGCTGTCATATCAACTGATCTAACGTTACCTGGCTTCACCCATGGTGCTGAACAGACCGACTCCACTGCTTCTCATGTTTGCTGAGCGTTTGGGGTTCACTGTTTCCATCTCTCACTAGAAGGAGGCTCTGTGTGGTGGGGGTCATCAGGCTTGTCCACGCCGTGTCCCAGGTCCCAGGACAGAGCCTGGCCTCAGGTGCTCACTGGCCACCTACAGACAGGAGGGCATTGGTAGGAGGCGCCGGTTCCGGCGTTGGCCCCGGTGGCCTCCCTGAGGCACCGCCGGAAGCAGGAGGCTGGGCCAAGTGAGCCCTGCGGAGCTGCCTCGTCCCTTCATAGCCACAAAGGTTTTCTTCTCTCAGACTGGCTGTCCAAGCCCAAGTGGCCACAGCTCCACAGGGACTGTTCACATGGACTCGCAGATTCTACATGTCCACGTCCTGTGGTTTCGGCCCATGAGCAGAGACACGTGTGGAGTCAGTCAGGCTCACAGTGCCTGACATCCGCTCCCCAGCTCACTGGACTCAGACCTCCCACTTCACAGCAGCTGCCAAGAGAAACTTGGCCTACATTTCCAGACTCTTCCCCCTTGTCCACCTACTTGATCTCCTATCTATCCATCCATCCATCTGCCCATCCATCCATCCACCCAGCCACTCAACCATCCATCCATCCATCCACTTATCCATCCATCAGTCCATCTTCTTATCCATCCATCTAT